ATTTATATTAAAATTATCTAATCATCAGAGGACCAGATAGAATTGTGGGCATCCCAATTCTTTCTTTTTAAGCAGTTCCCTTCCCTTTTACAATATCTGTTATACTTTTAGGATTTTGTTTACTCTTTCACTTTCTTACACTAAGGAGACAATACAATGTTTATACACATCAGTCTGATTTATTTCACTTATGAGTATGGTCTGTAGTTGCATACACTTACCTATTAAAGCCTTGAGTTTAACTTTCTGAGCCTGGTCTTTACCAGGAGCATTTCTGTCAGTATTCCAGTCTTCTGAGCTCTGACCAGAATCTCCCATCAGGTAGAGACTAAGGATTTCCAGGGCAGCTGTTTTAGCCAGCATCTCCGAAGCTTTACAAACTCTTCTCTCAAGTCAGTTTGTTTGTTTGTTTGTTTGTTTGTTTTTGTGGAACTGGGGATTGAACTCAGGCCCTCACGCTTACCAGGGAAGCGCTTATTCAGCTGAGACATCTCCCCAGCCCCTCAAGCGAGTTTCAAAGGCTCTTGAGCCACATGATCAGATATAGTCACAGCAGCTATCCTACTTTTCTGGTACCAAATTCTGTCTTAGTTTCTTTTCTCTCATTGCTGAGATAAAAATACCTGACAAAGTTCAAGAAGAAAAGGTTTATTTAGCTCACAGTTTGTCAGAGTTTTAGTCCATAATTGGCTGGCTCCAAAGCAGAGTAGCAGCTAAAAAGAAAACGTGTTCACAGTAGACAGAAGGTAGCAAAGCAAGCAAGAGACCTTGGCAACTTTTTTTGGGCCCCTTTTATACTCTAAACTACCAGGATTAGGGCAGTGCCAAACCATTCAGCCCATTGATTGGTAATCATACACCCTTAATCCCAGCATTGCTGCATGTACTCTGGATCCAGCCACCTCTGAACAAGCGCCATCCATCTATGAGCACATGAGGCCTTAAGGGGATCATCCCAACATAAGCCATAACATTAGATGTCTCTCAAACATTTTCTTTCTTTTTAAAAATCTTTTTACTTATTTATTCATTTGGTACAGGGTCTTGCTACACAGATCAGACTCATAGTGATCCTCGTAGTGATCATCCTCCCCTGAAGTGGGATTACAGGCATGCGCCACCACACCCAGTTTCAGGGTGACTTGGCATGCCTAGGGTTCCAGGCTGGCACAGTATGCAGTACTGGGGATTGAACCAGGGTCTGTATACTTGCCAGGCAGGCACTTAGACCACTGAGCTATCTCCCCAGCAAAACATTTTCTAAAATTGGTACTAGGGATCAAGTCCAGGGGCATTGTGCCACTAAATTACATTCCTCTCATACCCATGCCTCTTTAAGACAGGGTTTGGCTTAATTACCCATGAAGGACTTGCACTTGCAGTCTTCCTGCCCCTTACTCCTTCAGTGGTGGGATTACAAGTGTGCCACTGCACTCATCTTTTTATTTTATTTTATTTTATTTTTTATTTAATTTTATTTATTTATGTGTGTGTGTGTGTGTGGCCAGCTCAGCCCACCAGGGGGCGGGGCTGGCTGGCATGTGGTGCTGGGGGATTGAACTGCGGTCCCTGTGCTTTGCTAAGCTTGTTCTAAGTAGGTGCTTTAGACCACTGAGCCATCTCAACAGCCCTGCACTCATCTTTTTAAAAATACAGTTCACATGCAGTGAAATTCACTTTAAATTGTATAATTTGGTGGGTTTTAGTATGTTTACAAGATGATCAGTGATCAGTGCTATATAATTCCAGATCTTTTCTTTTTATTTTTTAGATAGGGCTTTCTATGTAGTTCTTCTTAGCCTTGAACACTATATAGTTCAGGCTGGGCCCAGATTCATAAGTCTTCCCGCCTCAGCCCCCCAAATGTTGGAATTACAGACATGCACCACCATTGCCAGCTCCAGAACGTGTTTATTACCCTCTCCCCAAAATCCTGCACATGGTGGAGGTTACTCTTTTCTTTCTTTTTTTGTTTTTTAATTTTTTTTTAACATTTATTTATTTATTGTGTGTGTGTAGCCAGCTCAGCCCTCCAGGGGGCGGGGCTGGCTGGCATGTGGTGCTGGGGGATCTAACCGTGGTCCCTGTGCTTTGCCAAGCTTGTTCCATGTAGGTGCTTTAGACCACTGAGCCATCTCGCCAGCCCCAGGTTACTCTTTTCTTCTCCTTTTCTATTTCCTGGCATCTGCTAATCTCCTTGTCTCTGGATTGCATATTCTGAACATTTAATATAAATGAAATTATATGTCTTTTTGTGTCTGGCATCTGTCATTAAACATATTTTCAAGATTCATATTGTATCATATTATCAGTATTTCAATCACTTTTTACTCAGTACTATTCTAAAGAAATACCACATTTTGTTTATCCATCATTTTATTCATTAGATTGTTTTCACCATTTTTGTTTGTTTGTTGGGACAGGGTTTTGCTATATAGTTCAGGCTGGCTTTAAACTCACTGTATAGCCCAAACAATCCTCTTTCCTCAGCCTCCTCAGTGCTAGGATCATAGGCATACACTGCCATGTCCAGATCACCTTTTAGTAATTATGAATTATAGTGCTATGAACATGCCTGTCCAAAATTTTGTTTGAACTTTTTTTTTTTTTTTTTTAATCTTAGATGTATAACCAGGAATGGAACTTCTGGACCACATGGCAACCTATGTTGAACTTTTTGAGCAACTTTCAACTTGTTTTCTATAGTGGCTATACCAGTTTACATTTCCATTTACATTA